CACCTGACCTGCCCTAAATCCTATAGAGAATCTGTAACAGTATGAAAAATGAACCCCAGGTTCTGGTTCCCTTCTAACTACCCTGCTTTAGCACACAACTCTGAATAGGCAGCTTAAACCATCTGCAGAGCTCACCTTGCTCTTCCTTGGTCCTTTTCTCTGCAGAGGATGCATTTAGATTGACTTAGATCCTCAGTACTAACCGACAGAAGTATTCCACTTTGTTCCATTCTCTGGGTTCCGAATCATGGAGAAAGGATCTGGTGGACATTAAGGAAAGAATAACCCTGTCCCACCCAACTAGTTTCTCAGTGCAAGCTTGAGGGCACTTCCATAGTTGCTCACTCCTGCCTCACCTGGGAGCACAAGAGGATGCATTGAGTGGAGCCAGGCGTTTTATCCAGAATGGCAAGAGGAGATGAAGTGTTACATGGTTAGGAAGGAGCAGAAGCAGCAGTTTCTGCACTACCATCTTCGTGTGCTGAAGCAAGTGGCTGTGCTGATGCACTCCCACTTGCACGTCCTCAACACCCTCAGCACTACAAGGAAAGCAAAATACTTATGCAAGCACTGTTGCTGCCTCAGTATATGGTGCTGAAATTGCCTTTTTTTTTTTCAAAACACTTGGTTTCCCCAGAATGCCATTTCTTTTATCCCAGCTCAAAAGGAAAATTTTCTGAGAAGTCTGAAGGCACAAAACAAGAAGGACACCAAATAGAAGATGAATTTTCAATTTGCACTTTCAGATTCCTGTTGAGACATACTGTTGGTGTCAGCCTTTTATATGTGCATTCTGAGCTGATGCTATTTCACACCAGCTCCACGCTTGTTATTTAAATGACAAATAACCATGATAGGCAGTGTAAAGATGAAGCCTCTTCCCCAACTAAACTGTATTTTCTCACCCAGCTGGGGAGGAAACCACAGGAGAGCAAGATCTTTAGGTTTAATGAAGTAGGAGTTTCCTGCAAAATTAAAGGTGATCTTGTTTGTCAGAAAAAAAAAAAAAAACAAAGCCAATATGGTGTTTCAGGAATATTGTGCTTCCTTGTGATGCCCCAAGGCCTATTTCAGGTTGTCAGAAATCTAAAATGGAAGGATCTCAACTCAGCTCAGATGAATGCACCCAGTCCATGACAGCTACTCTTTGGAAATGCGTGTTTCCCTGCTGCAGCATTGGACTTTCCTTTTTGCTTTTTCTGCTGCCTTTGATTCATCTCACTACCAGTGCTGGTGCAGTGGGTTGCATAGGGGTCATGGGGAGAAGGTGAGGCATGATGCTGTAGGTACATGCAGAGCAGCTCTCCCCGAGCAAGGTGGAAGAGTGTGTCTCATGTTCTGCACATGGCATGGGACAGGTCCGGGTCAACTCCATTTAATGCACAGATGATAATAAAACATGTCAAGATTAACATGTCAAAACTCCAAAAATGGACACAGACCTTCTGTTTACAGACCTTCTAACTTTGGTGAATAGCCACAGGTACAGATTTGTACCTAAAGCCTGTTGGGATGGAAGAACATTCTGAAAAACAGTAGCATCTACAAATAAGTGTGATTAACAAAACTATTTGTTGTGTATGATCTTGGACTCGCTGTGTGCAGAGTCCAGAGCTGCATCCTCTCCCTACTTGAGGTGGGAGGGTGAGTGTGGTGCTATGTGGGGCTCCCTACTCTGAACCCTTCAGTGCTGAGAATATGAGACACCAACCTCACAATTCCCCTTGGCTTCCTGATCAAAATTCAGCCCTTCATGGCATGTCCCCTGCTCTGAAATGAGTAGTTGAGTTTAGGGCCTATGATATATCTTAGTCAGTATCTGCGCTGCTTCATCCTTTATTCCTTCCCCCAACTTCTTCCGAATGCCATCCAGTCCCAGTGATTTATTACCCTTCAGTGCATTTTGCTTTTTGCTCAAGAATTTATATTTAATTTTTATGCCCGTTATCATTGAGGGAGAGGAGGAGAATGCTTTGGGAGCCCAGAGTAAAAATAAAATGACACACTTTAGTGCATTTTCTTTGAGTGATTTTGTTGTGTTTTCTCCGTAGTTTGGCAGGGTATTTACTCCCTCCTCCTCAATTTTTGAATTGCTCAGAATTGGTTGAAGTGATTGTAGAAAAATTGCAGGGTGATAATCTATATTGATTAACTCCAGCCTTGCAAGGACTGGAACCTGCTGCTCCCCGTGCCTCACTGACTCATGTAGGAAAGATCTCCTTTCAGAGATCAGCAGAAGAGCGGGACCATTTGGCCTTTACTGCCGTTGTGCTTTTGGGAAATGGCAAATTATGGAGCAGCAGAGGTTGACTTTCTTTTCTTATCCCCCTTGGTTTTACTAATGGTGAGTTCTGTCTGTGCCACCACCTCCTGTAGACCTTCCATGTGAGGTTATGAGTCCATTTTGTAGACTCATAACCTCACATATGCAAATACTGCATATAACTTACTCCAGTGGGCACAGAGAGATTCCGTAATTTGGCCCTTGGTGCCAAAGAGGCATTAGAGTGCAGTTGAGCTAAGGACAGAATTTTTGATGCTCTTTTCTGCTGCGTGCACCTTTTCCTCTTGTATATCCCCTCTTTTCTCTCACTTTTGGGCTGTTTTAATCAATGAAGGAAGGAAGACTTTAGGAGCAAGTTAAGCACTTCTGCCTGTCAAGGGGGCTAGATGAGACTGCTTGCTGTACTGCAGGAACTGAGAGTGGGAGAAGGCATTCGAAAATTCATGCAAGACTCGAGCAAAGTCTCTACCCCTCCTTCCTTGGTGGGACCTCCTGTAATTCTCCATCTGCCCCCTTTCTGTCAGAATAACAGCAGAGAAGGAACTCATGAGACTTTGACGGTTGTAATCACAGCAGAGCCCATACCCAGCCCATACCACAGCCGTTTTCTTTTCCAGGTCTCAAGTGTAACTAAGAGGTGCCAGGTTGAGAGCTCTGTTCAGGCCTGGGTTGGCCTCAAGCGTCTATGACTGTCCTCTTCCACTCCTCCACTGCACAAAAGCCATTTCTGCACTCGCCTCATTGGTTCCAGTTCTTCACATATTCAGTTGAACTTCTGAGATCTACCTGATCCCTGCAGAGGACTGTTAACCCAGATTGATGGGTTCTTGATACAGAAGGAAGCTCAGGAGACAGCATGGGGAAGTTCACCTCCTCTTGGGTTCTTGGATGACAGCAAACGTGGCCGCAGGCCATAGTCCCCTATTTTAGCCATTGTTAGTGTGGTAGTTAGTGCAGAGCTTTGAAGCCCTGCTCAGGAAGAATTATTTTTTCAGCACTGCCAAACGTGTGGAGACTTCTGCTGTGACAGCCAGTGGGTGACCTCTGATCAGCTCATTAGATCTGTTTGTCTTCTCTGTTGGTTAAAGCCCAGTGGTTCATTTCTCTGTCTCTTTGATCCTTTCTGTGTTTTAATTAAAGCTTCTTTTCGATCTGACCTTCTGCAATGCAGTGCTGTAGCATAATTGAGGCTGAATTGAGCCTCTAATTGTGGAGGGTCTGTTCTGTCAGGCTGGACAGATGAACTAACCCTTCACCTTAGCATTTATTGTGACTGACAGAGTTCTGACTGCCCCTTGTGTCCTCTCCATGAGATCAGGCAGTCTGGATATCTGAGTATCTCACAAAGCAGGGTGAAAATGTGTTGCTCTTTCAGTAAAAAAAAAATAAAAAGCCTTGAGTACCCAGGAAACATTTATTGGAAAGCAAAATGGAGTAATAATTTACTGATTGAAGAGGATGGAAGACAAACATTGGGACCCTGCATTGATTTATTGACTTTTTTTGTATTTCTTCACTAGCCTAAGAGAGTTGAATTGTGGGGAATGGCAGTTGGATTTAAATATCTGAATCTTGCTGCTGATTTAGGTGCTGGACTAGGGGTATGGAGACTGGGTCCAATGCTGTAAACTTCGGGCTGTTGAGACTTGGCACTCTTAATCGTTGACCCTGGGGCTGGAGAGCACAGAGCATGCAGGAGACTCCTCTACATGCCATCTACATGGGCACCAGCTTCTTGCCTCAGAGTTCTTGAGTCTGAGGGAGAAGCCGGTGAGAATTTGGTTGTAGGAAGTGAGGATTTCCTGGGATGTAAAACCTGCTTTTAAAGAAGGTGTACAAATAGGCTGTACTCTGTCTGAGCCAAAGACTGTTCTGCAAGGAGGACAGATTGCCAGCCTGCTTGTGCAGCTGCTGCTGCACAGAAGCTTGTGCAGTAGGCACCTGCATGTTGCTCAACATAAAAATTGCCATAGGATGTCCTTTAGCTGCCACTTCTACTAAAACTAACTCTTTCAGTTTATGCCTAATGGGCCTCACTGGTGAGAAACCAATGCGTTGCTAGGAATGCAACTAGGGATCTCAGCCCTTAGAGGGAAGGGGAAGCACCTTAATGTGAAGTCCAGGTGAGAATCCTGACAGTTCAGGGGGGACACGAGGAAACACTGAAGTGACTTAAGGAAAACCATGGCACTTAATCAACAACAATTTTCAATTCAAGTTAACCTGACCCAAAGCAAATTCTTATTTTCAGCTTTTCACTACAAAAGCTGAAGACTGTAGCAAAGCTTCTGTTCTGCTACTAAATATTTCAGTTTTCCCTCAACAAATCCCAGCAAACATGACCAAATAATCCAGTCCACCTCTGTCTATCAGTAAATTTGTCTTCTCTACAAGCATCAGCATGCAAGAGCAGTATTTTTCAGGGGTTTTCTTTAGGCTGAGCCAATATGAACCAATACCCCGCTAGTATTCAAGTCCTGCTGTTCCAAGTATTCAGTCCTGCTGACAGAGCTGACTGTGTCTTCTGGTTTGAGCTACTCGTTAAGCAGCTCAGAGTCTTAGATCCGAAAGTCCTGGGTCTGATCCTCGCAGACAACCAGCCAGAGGCTCTTATTTCCAATACAGCATACCCTTCTCTGCCGAGGATTAGAAAGTACTGGATTATCTACTTATCACAACTGGTGGAAAACTCTGTGTCCTGATTCTTGTAGGGTGAAGCTGAGATCGTACAAGGTACTACATCTGCTCCTGGCGGGTGACAGGAAGGACTCTGAAACCCAAAGTGCCCACCCCATTGCAGGTAAGTAACTGATTTTATCTTGTTTTATGGTTAGAAATGACGAATGGTACTGAGAGGTCTCTGCTGCTGTGGCTCTGTTGTGAAAGAGAAGACTAGATACTGAGTTTGGGGACAAGAAGGACACCGTGCTTGAGATGCAGAAGGTTATGACTGAGTTTCATTCTGGACTCAGACTTTCCTATAAGCCTGCTGAAAATGGTCTTATACAGGCGTGGGGTGAGTGTTGGCAGAGCCAAAGTCCGATGGATAGGCTGAGAACCTACGTTCCCTTATGGGCTGGAGACTGGCGAAGTTAGTGTACCTTAAACCCTGATGGGCAGTCTGTGATCTTTTGGACATGGTGAGATTCAGCACACTTTCATTTCAGATGAATTGTGTGTTTGCAATGTACTGTAAGGGCATGTGGATATGCTCAGGACGTTTGGGTGGTTTTAGGGGCAAACTCTGGTTTTGACTTTCACAGTGGGCACCCTAGATAACCAAGGCAGGAATATCCGTCATGAAGGATGTTTGCAAGGTGCCAGCGCTGATTTGTGCTGTGTCCACTGTGGAGTTGGCTGAGAAGTGATGACCTGAAGCAGCGCTTGAGCAGTTTAGCTCATGTTCCACTTGCAAACAGGGAAGGACACTTGTCTGAGCACAATCAGAGCGTGTGCTGGATGTTCCCCCCTACCCAGCTTGGCCAGGCAGGCTGAACCAACAACATCTTTTTGAAGAAGAGATTCCTCTGGAATCTGGGGGTCAATTTGAGTGACACTGTGCCCTTTCCTATTAGGAAATGCCCTACGTATGAGAAAAGACTAAGCAAGCTGGGACTGTTTAGCCTAGAGAAGAGAAGGCTGAGAGATCTGATCAATATATACAAGTATATGAGGGGAGAATATAGGGAGGATGGGCCCAAGCTCTTCTCACTGGTGACCAGTGACAGGACAAGGGGTAATGGGTACAAACTGAAACACAGGCAGTTCTATCTCCATGTGAGGAAGAACTTCTTTCCTGTGAGGATAACAAAGCACTGGAACAGGCTGACCAGAGAAGTTGTGGAGTCTTCTTCAAAACCTGCCTGGATGCCACCTTGTGCCATATGCTGTAGGTGTCCCTGCTTGAGCAAGGGGGTTGGACTAAATGATTTCTAGAGGTCCTTTCTAACCTCAGCCATCCTGTGATTCTGTGAAATGGTAGCCCAGGGATCCTTGTCACTGTTATAACAGTCCTGAACTGGGAATCCAGTTGAATAAAGCATGGAGCTTGCATCAACAGAAAATGAAGATTTTAGGACTGAGTAGAAGTTGCTGGACTGTGCACTACACCTGATGATATGAATGTGGAGTAGTGTAAAGTTTTCAACCGTGGCCTTTTCCCTTCTGGTTCCCAGACATGTGAGTGAGAGCAGATCCTGATTGCTAATTCTGCTAGGTCTATGGTCATGGTGTGACATGTTTGCTTTAATTAGTGTTGTGGTTGAACTTTTCCCTTGGCAACTTAAGAAGGAAAATAAAAAATATATGTAACCAAGTGAAGCCACTTATTGTATTGGTAGGAGCTGTGTTGGTTGCTACGTCTCAGCAGGTGCGATGTTCAGTAAATATAGATCTGTGAGATTTATACTTTTTCATCTTTTTGGGAAACCTTAGCAATGAAATTCCATCATAACAGAGGCATAAAGATTCCTCTAAACTTTTTCAAATACAGATTGGGAAATTGAAGGAGAATAGGAATTTGGGTTTGTTTATGCTTTATCTTAAACATTTTTTGCCTATAGTTCAGTGTGCCATCTCCTAGCAGCAATGAAAATATTTTTATGTGAAGTAGGGCTGAAAAATTCTGACGTGGCTAAGCAAATGTGCTGGCTAAAACCCTTCTTCATGAATAAGAGAAATACCGTGCCCTAATTCCATAGATCAGGATTTAACTTACCCAGGGAAATTACAGGATTCAGCAGCATGGAAGAAATACTTTATTTTTTGAATATCCAAGATATTTTCCAAAAGAACACTGCCAGCAGGTTTTTAAAGTTTTCTTTCAGCCACCAGCATGTTCAAAACTACTGTAACTATGCAGTTGCAGCAATAACTGTAATACTGTAAACTGTGGGCCCTTCTCTTTGTGTACATTTATCATAGTTAGGTCCCGCTGAGCTGTCCCCTAACAGGAGGAAAGCACCTTGTAGCTAACAGCACTGTAGGCCTTGAACTGTGGCAGTTCTTTCCTTTCACAGGATTTCTGAACTCTTGAACTCCGCTGGTTGATTCCTCTCTTTTTCATTTTTTCTCTCCTCCCTTCAAGTTATTGGGAGCTCACAGAGCAGGACCTGAATCCAGAGAGGGACATGACAATCCCAATTTTTCATTCACTGAAAAAGCTGTGAAAATATCTATTCCTCAGGCAATTCAGGAAGGACGTTGAAGGAAACTTTGGAGAGCTCAGAAGGTTGCTGAAAATGCCCCTAATTCCAGCAGTGCAGTTAAGATGACAGAAATACCTGTTATTGAGTTGACCTGTACAAGGTGGAAGTGTCCCATAGTGAGAGGACACAGCACATTGCTAGGGTGTGGGTGGCTCTGTAAAGACAGGATGGCTAAAATTTTGTTTCTGTCTTCTTAGAAGCAGCCGGTGTCGCTGAGTGCCGTCCCTGGGTCTAATCACAAATAAACCCAGACTCTAATCACTTGTTCGGGTCATTTGTCAGCCATGGCTGTTCCTGTCCTTCCAGGATTAGGACAGCACTCTGTAGCCCAGTAAGCTGCGGTCTGGTGGTGACCTTCTTAGCATCTCTATGGCCCAAGGAAGGAAACAATATAAGAGGTTTCCTAATTTAGATAAGACAGTGCAGGTCAAAAGGAAATTGCAGATGTCAGTGCTGAGAAGGGCCAATGGGGAGCAAATGAGGAGGTCATATAGGGCCATATCCATTATGGTAGAGGTAGCAGGATATAAGCATTGCCTTGATAGAGTTGCATGGTCCCACCTTAAAAACACTAACTGTAGGACCAAAATATGCTCCTTGCCTATATTTTTGTCAAGGAAGCAAATGCGCAGTAGGATAACAGATGAACCTGCAGTGACTGCGAAGCTCTAATTCTTTCCATGACTCTAAAGGTGTCATAAACTGTGAGAAAAAAACTCCAGCACTTTACAAACAGAAGTACTGCACAAAATCTTGAGAGCAGATTTAACCTTCAGTTGCCTCAAGGCCAGTTATTTATAACACACATGTTGCAACCCTGATGCAGTGATGGGTAAGTGCATTATACGTGCATCTAGGCAGAGCCTGGCCCTGGCCTTTGAGGGTTGTTTGTTTGCAGTGTAGTTTTATTTCCCCGTAGGCAATTACAATCAAATATAGGTGATTTCTGCAGTGTGGATACCTCTGTGTGCACACACACGTTCTTTCTGTAATTTAAGGAAATTATTGCAGGTGATCCCCTCGTCAGCCACGTCACTTTGTAGCACAGGGGTGGAGAAGCTGTAAGATAGATATGTGAGCAGTTCAGAGCGGGCAGCGGGGTGCTTGGCGTGCTTGGCATGCTCCACAAGTTCAAACCGATCATTGCTCTCTCTTGCATGAAGCCAGCAGCAGGACAGATTGCCAGTGTTTGCAGTGGAGGTGCAGAATTTACGGTATGGCATTTCTTCACAGCATGCCCTCTGTGGGTGGCCGCGCTGGGACGCGCATGCTCTCGTGCTTGGGACACAAACTGTTATATCTGTGTAAAGTACAGGAAAAAGAAACGCCATGTAAATCCCAGTCTGCCCCATAAAACCAGAGGATAACTAGCTATAACTCCTGGTGTGTTGCAGCAAAGGCAGCCTTGGGACCACTGCAACTGGGAACATCTCATTCCTGACCAGTCTCCAGAGCTTTCCTTCTGTTAGGTTGTGGGCTTGCTGCGGTGAGGTGCCCTGTGAAATGAGAACACGATTAACATTCTAGCACTGAAAAAAAAAATCTGATTGAGCTCATGTCTTCTGTCCCCTCTCATGATTTGTATTCCCCCAGTCCAGATTTGCTGCTGGCTTGCAGGAGATGTCGTTCTAAGTAGGGATGATTCTGGTGAGACGGTATGGGGAATTTAAGCACTGATAATCTGAACGATGAGAGAAGGAGGGTAGGAGGTGATTTGAGAGATTCATGCCGACTCTTTCCCATACCACACGTTCCAATCACAATGTTGATAAGAAAAGCACTCCTGAGAAGCACTCCGTGCTACGGACTCCATCCTTTTCCAAGGGCCTTCCAAAGGGGATCTCAAAATAAGTGGGTTTGGCCTTTTTCCCTTTTTTCTTCCTTCTTTGCTAGTTCCTGCGGGATATAAACATACGTATTTCATTTTAGCACTCAAGAACCCCCAAACTAGCAGGGAGGTATTGAGAGACCCCATGATGGTCAATAACGGGTTACTTTTCAGTGCCTCCAATTTCAGCTTTGTCGTACAGCCAGCAACTCCTATAGGGACCAGGAATGAGTCCTAATGAGTCCCCAGGTTGACTCTTCTGCATGTTTCAGCCAATTCCGCTTTGTGAACGGTGTGTGGGTCAAGGGGATGCAGGAAGGCAGATGGAGCTGCAGAGAACAGGAACAAATTCCCTGGAAAGCTAAACCCCCCTAATCCTTATCTGCAATAAATAAATGCGAAGGCCCAGAGTCTCTAAGCAGACTCTCTGGAGCAATTGCCCACATATGGAAATAATCTAATGAAAAGGGCAGGGTTGCTTGGCAGGAGGACGTTCCCATTGAACTGTTTCCTTCGGGAGATGCTTTTGCCTTGCACGGGTTTTGCTCGTCCAGCTGACCCGGGCTAGTGTCAATGAACGAGGAGCGAGCTTTGAGCTCCTGTGCCGAAACGTACATGCTGCAAGTGGGAGAGGGGCGTGTTCTCAGCACCAACTCCATCTTTTGCCTGGACACATCCATTTGTTTGCCTGGAAAGCCTGGGTGGTTTTGCTGGAGGATGCAGGAGTTGCTCAGAACGTCACAAGCGCAAGGAGCGCTGCGGGCA